GAAACAGGCGATCGTTAGACCCCTTCTTAAGAAGTCTGGTTTAGAATTACAATTGTCAAACTACAGGCCTGTCAGTAACTTATCGTTTCTTTCAAAATTGATAGAAAAGGCTGCGCTCTTCAGACTAAATAACCATGTCGATACCCATAATTTGTTACCCAAAAACCAATCAGCTTACAGGCGACATCATTCATGTGAGACTGCTTTACTCAGACGTGTCAATGATCTTCTAGACGGTATGGAGAAGCAAGAGGTGACAGCTCTAATTGCAATAGATCTAAGTGCAGCTTTCGACACCGTTGATCACAACATTCTACTCGACGTGTTACACAGTCAGTACGGTGTCAATGGTACCGTGTTAGCATGAGTGGACTCGTACCTGCGACCTCGTAGTTGTCGCGTCAGCGTTAATTCTACTGAATCGACTCCACGATTGCTGGAATGCAGTGTACCTCAGGGGAGCTGTCTTGGTCCGTGGCTCTATCTCACATATGCGGGAACCCTATTTGATGTGATACCACCAACCATATCTGTGTACGGCTTTGCTGATGACCACATTGCTAGTCAACGCTTTCGACCAACTTCAGTGACCAATGAACTTAACGCTATAAAGCAACTTGAAGACAGTGCTGTAATCATCAATGACTGGATGAATGCCAATAAACTCAAAATGAACACCACTAAGACAGAATTCATTATGTTTGGTAGTAAAGCCCAACTTGGTAAATGCTTAAATAAAGAAATTGATATCGCCGGTGATAAAATTCAAAATGTCAGTGTCATAAGATACTTAGGTGCCTACTTAGACGAGGGCCTAAGATTCTCAACACATGTTAAGACCAAGTGTAGAACTGCCATGTTAAATTATTTGAGAATAAAGAGCATTCGCAAATATCTGACTCAGGACGCCACAAAAAGCCTAGTATTGTCGCTTGTAATCTCACATTTGGATTATTGCAACGCAATATTGTTTGGCATTTCAGAAAGTGAGTTACAGAAATTACAGCGTATCCAGAATATGTGCGCTAAACTTGTTTTGCAACGCGGAAAATATGATAGTTCCAAAGACTCTTTGTTTGAACTGCATTGGTTACCAATTAAAGCTAGAATCAATTTAAAATACTATGTACAATGTATAACTGTTTTATGGGCAATGCTCCGGTTTATCTAACAGAACTGTTACACAAGCCTGTCATAAAAAGACCAAATCTCAGATCTGTTGATAATATGGATTATTGTTTTGCTGTCCCCTTTAACAAAAGGAAAACATTTAACGACAGAAGTTTTAGTACCGTTTGTCCAACTCTCTGGAATAAATTGCCTCTGTATATAAGACAGTCTTCGACTTTGGACATGTTCAAGAAAAATGTCAAAACCTACTATTTTAGAGATTTTTACGCATTGTTTTAAGATTGTGATTGGGCTGTAAACTGATCGAGATGTGGAAATGTGTTTAAAAGTTTACTGAAATAACCATTAATTTTTATTTTCTTTTAAATTATTTATTATTATTATTTTTTATAACTATTCTCTTTTTTAAAGTTTTGAATACTTTATATTTTACACGGCTGATATCTTTAACTTATTTTTTTGTAGTTCATTTGTCATGCATATGTGTTTTTTTATCTATATGTACATACTTTTATTATCCTTTTGTACAACGCCATTGAATATGTATATAGAAATAAGCGTTTAATTAAATAAAACAGTTTCAGTTTTTCAATTTCTTATCTGTATACAGGTGGTATAAGTGGGAAACCCTATAACAGGGCTCACATGTAAGTATTTTTTCGCATGCGCGCAAGGACGGAATCCCCCAAAGTTAACAAGGTCGTGTTTTGACAACGTGAAAGTGAAAGTGATTAAAAAATGAAAATTTTTATATGTAGTACCGAACTGACATTTAGATTCTGTCTTGTTTATGCATCTGCTTGATTGATATCAAATTATTGAAAAATGCAAGTAAAAATCAAGCATTTCGACAGAAATTACTGGTACTGCTTCTATACGGGAACGGCTCGCAAGGCAAATTTGACTGGTATGCCATAAAATTATTAACGTTGGGTTGTGAAGCAAAGACACCGCTAAGGTTAAGGATTCCTGTCCCTGTCAGGCTGTACTTTCACCCTTTTACATTTTGTGCCCAACACGGGGCTGTAACTCGATATAGCTCAGAATCTATTTAACATTTCTCTCTGTAAATATAGCCCTGAGATTATCCGAGGGCAATTTTTGTATAGCAGCGATCGAAGTAATTGATATTGTTTAGAACTATTAACTTTTTACAAGAGTAGAAGTTTAAGCTTAAAAGGTAGAGCTGCGGTACAGTCTTCTGATGGTGCCATGTTCAAGTCCCGGTTGGGCTGCACATATTCATCACCCCTTAACAAAATTACTTATTGATAGGACAAGAGACTTTTGATAATTAGATATGTATTCAGATTATACTTAAATAGTTCACTTCTTATATGCATTATACATTTTATAATGATATTGCGTAAAATTATACAAAATTGATTTGCTCGTGTAAGATATACTGTTTGAGAGACAGTGAGAACATATGTCCCCGTATATTTAGAACATAACTGTTGAATTATAGAAATTGTTTGCATAATTATGTGGATCTAGGATTTCACAACAGGAGGGGTTTGTTAAATTGCAAAAAGGGGTAATGATGTACAATTGTCAGTATGTATTTGGTATTTAAACAGTTTTCCAAGGAAATCACGGTTTAAAATCTTCACTAAAAAGACATTTAGTCCTTAATGTAATATCATATTTATGTATCATCTGGATCTGCTGACAGGTTTTTCTTGATTTTTAAGCCTTTTTTCAACTGCCTTAGGTTATCTTATTTTAAATCTATCAGTACAATAACTTAACTGGTATTCTACTCAAAATGATCTTAATGCTGTTCATAAGAATAGTTTTTCAATTTCAAATTAGTTTTGAAATTCTTATTTTTTTTATCTCGCAGAATTGTTTCATTAAATGTATGGTGACTGATTTCTTCAGTTTCCTTATTTCCTTTGTCCCAATTGAGGGGCGACATGAAAAAAGAGGATCATAAAACAAAAACACAGTGCAAAAAATTAATGAAAGTATTCCCTCACTGAACATTGACGGTTATAAAATCAACCACAACAAATCGAAAAAACGAAATGGCAGAATTAAGACACCATAGTTTTGTTAGTTATACGTCATCTTAAAGCTATTAAGTTAAAAATATTTTTTTTTTACTTTTTTTATCAGGCAGCAGTATGGTATTTAACAACTAAATAAAAATTATGTTGTGCCTGTTTTATCGCAGCTGAGGAGGCAACAATGGGAAAGAGCGATTAAATGACAAATATATGTCTTTTCGTTTTGTTTTTCTCTTTATTTTCATTTCTTTTATTTTTTGTTGTTATTTTGTGTTTTTTTGCATACACCCCCTTCAACTGCGACAGCAAAAAAACATAAAAAAATGTGTCTCATTCTGTCACTCTTTCGACGCCAATAGAAAACTGTTATGCAAAGTAAATTATTCATCAACTGTTGGAAAACCCCCATCCATCCCCCATAAAACACTTTTACTATGTATTCTCTATTTAAACGTATATGTCTTTTTAGTTTAAATGATTAACATGTTGCTTTATGATATAAAAGTTAATATAATTTATTGACGCATGCGTACGTAATCAGTAAAAAAACTGATTATATCACATTCCAACAGGATTTGTCCGCCATCTTTAATAACGATCTACGAGCCGCTTTAAATCGTGTTATTCACATTTATAGCGAATGTTATGTCCAACAAATGACTGAAATGTGAACAGTAAAATATGATTTTAGACCTTTATTATGAATAATGAATGTGTTTAGTTTTGAATGGCAAGTTTGGCATTTGTAGTACACTTTCGGGTAATTTGGCTTAGTTTTCGGACAAACTGGCCATTTTCAACTACATGTTAAGATCAGTTCTAACCTATTTAGGAATAAAACGATAGACAAGAAACAAAGTTTAGCACCCCTTGCAAATTTTAAAGGCACATATTTTCATGAGTTTAACACATTTAGAACCTTGCAAAACGCCCCGCAAAATGCCCCACAAAAGATGCAACATTTGGCGATTATATATTCTGTAGAAATAAATATTGCCAGTATATTTACTTACACCGAAATAATTGTTGTATGTTGAAGATTTATACTAATTTCCAAAGCACTGTATACATATATAAAGCGTGGTGATATTATAATCGTGTGATAATTACGCGACATCGGAACCCTTAATAACAATTAATATAGAAAATTATACAAGGATCATACCTATAAAGTTTCATCAAAATATTCAATGTCAGGAAGAAGATGTGGTTTAACGATTTTTGGTCTTTTCCATTTGAGCATTTTTTTTAGAAAATCATAACGGGATCATTCTTTTAAAGTTTTCACTAAAATTTATCAAAAATTTATAATTAAGGAGTAGATCTCGTTAAAAGATTTTTCTATTTTAAGCCCTGATGGTAACCTTGTTCTGCAAACGGGAACAATTTTAACAATGTTATTCAGAGACTGCCCAATAACCATTTCTGTAGAGTTTCATAAAAAAATTGTGGGTGGTTGTGGATTTATCTACGTTTTTCTTTTTGCTCTTAGCACTGGCGGTTATGTTGTTCAACAGACCGGTACCATATGTCGAGGCCTATCTTAGGATCAGACCAGTATAGTTTCATCAAATCCACCATTCTTCCCAAAAGTTAAGGCCGATATGTAAGTTCAAGTCTTTTTCTATTCTTAGCTCCAGCCGCCAAGTTGTGTGGCAGACTGGAAGAATTTTGAGCAATTGTGTTAGAAACATATCCACAAGTCATTAACATCTACTTAATACTTAAGAAGGAGATCTCGTTACAAGGTTTTTTTCTAATTATATCTTTTCCGGCCATTTTATTCATTAGACCGACGGACTGTATCATGATAGACTATATTTTTATGTTACAATAATGAAGGCAATAATAAATTACCTTGACTTGATGCCTTGTTATCTACTCCTGTCAAATGCCTCTTTGAACTTTCTAATCTCCTCAGCCGTGAATTCATTTTAGAAATCTCGAACTTATTTTGAAAAATCTCTTTCTGCATAAATTCTTGAAGCTCCTTTATAGTTTTACAATCACAGTCAGTGTCACAATTCATTCCATTAACAAAAATTGTAATCATGATACTGACAAGTTTAATTTTATCCATTTCTTGAAAACTTTCGTTCAAGTCTTATTTCACTTGCTGCAAATTATGTACTGCGTAGCTAAGAAAGAAAGCTACACTCCACCTTTATACTAAAGTTTCCAATGTGTTTACTCAAACGAATTTTACCTTCACCTAGTTTTATAATAGCGTGCAAATAGCAGTGGAAGAACGTTTACAATATAACATTATTATTATCCTGAGAAAGTAGGTATTTCCTAGATGCTGTAATATCTCCTGGAAAAGTGCCAAAAAGTTAACGCTAAGATTATAAAAATGAATGAATAAATGTTTAAAAAAAACAACAAAACAACAAGCAATCAAACAAACAAAACACGAGAGGTTAAGTTTTTTGAACGCGGATTTTATTAAAATTAACGCACGCTTACATAGGTAGGCCAAAATTAATAACGCCTAATGTAGGTGATTTAAGGAAATAATAGACATCTGATTTAACATTTTCCCATAGAAAATTTAAATTTTTAGATACATATTAACAAAATGTTGTGTCATTTGAGATCATATTAAATTTCCCTTCACACTCATTTATCTTAACAAATTATAACATGGTGTCTAATATACGTAATAATAGAAGTATACATGCATTTTATTTTTTACAACTGCAGATAAATCTTTTGAAGGGAAATGCCAGGCGGCGTTGTTTCTGGCTGCAAGTTTACACACTACATGTATGTAGTCATAGTTAATTTCCTTGTCCCTTTAGACATTTATATTAACTAGAGCAGACAGTCTTAAATTGTTCGTAGAATATCTGAAGTAGATCTTAACATCTTGAAGTGGACATTGCCTATAAATGTTGCAGACGTTTTAAAACGACGTCCTTTTTCATTATTGTCATGATTATTGAATTTACTACAGTTATATTATTAATACAATCTGATAGAAAAAACACCAAAAGCACCCCCAAAAAGGACAAATATTATCAATTTCGATGAATTCAATCTACATGCACTTACTTCGATATAAGTGCATTTTAATTGATGCTGCCAATATATCATTATATGGAGGCCATTGAAAAAAATTCTGGAAACAAAGTGATCCGTTGGAAGCATGAATCAAACCAAAACAAAAAATGTCGAACGACACATATGCCCCCATTTCTAGCCCTTGACTCATACTAATAATTTTGTTATAGAAATATGTACTAAATGGGTATATGGAAGTGTTCAGTTATGGAAAAAAGAAAAATAATGAAGAATTTGTGATAAATAGATTTCAAGATATTGAGACATTCAAGGCCTCTGTGACCTAGACCTTTGGACTAGTGACCCAAAATCAATAGGGGTTATCTAATAGTTATGACTAATCAATATTAGAAATATGAAGACTTTGTAATAAATAGCTTTCAAGATAATAAGCGGAAACCATACTAATATTTAAAAACCCCGTAACATTGACCTTTGACCTAGTGACTCCAAAATCAATAGGAGTCACTTTCTAGTTATGACCAATCAGTATTTGAAATATGAAGACTTTATGATTAATAGTTTTCAAGGTAATAAACGGAAACCATTTTGACATTTAATGCAAGAAAATCAGCAGAAACAATTCAGACATTTAAGGCCCTGTGTCCTTAACCTTTGACCTAGTGACCCTAAAATCAATAGGGGTCATCTGCTAGTTATGACCAACCAATGTGTGCAATATGGAGACGTTGTGGTTAATAGTATCTAAGATAAAAAGCGGAAATCATTTTGACATCTAAGGCCCCTGTGACCTTGACCTTTGACCTAGTGACCCCAATATCAATAGGAATCATTTACTAGCTATACCCAATCAAATTGTGAAATATGAAGACTTTGTGATAAATACTTTGCAAGATAATCAGCGGAAACTATTTTGACATTTAATGCCCCTATAACCTTGACATTTGACCTCGTGATCCCAAAATCAATACTGGTCATCTACTAGTTATGGCCAATCAATATATGAAATATGAAGACTTTCTGAAAAAATAATATCCAAGATAATAAGCGGAATTTATTTTGACATCTAAGGCCCCTGAGACCACCTTTGACCTATTGACCCCAAAATCAATAGGGTTCATTTTCTAGTTATGACCAATTAAAATGTGAAATATGAAGACTTTGTGATGAAGGGGGCACAATTACAAATAAATACAGACTGGGTTTTGATTGAGTCTGTACATGAGGGATAATCAATACGGGCAACATCCCTCACGCCCCCTAACATCGGCTTGAGTGGTACTCAATTCTCAACACTTTATAGTGCTGGCATCAATGATCCCGAAGGACCAGAAAAATGTAACAACACTGAAGTGAATTCGGGGCAACTTTTTACAGCTGCCACACAGCACTTACACCTGCTGTTGAGAATTTTACCTTTTGACGCCATTTGAGTATTCTACGAGCAATAACTGTAAAAACTGTGTTGAAGCAATGATAGTCATCTACCCGAATGATAAGTAAATAACCCAGCGTTTGTTAGGCAGTCTTTCAAAAGAGTCCATGTTTTCCAAATTCCTAGTCGCTTCTTGCATGTATACTAATATGTCAACAATTAATTATTGTCTGCAACAATCCACAAATAGGTTGTCTTACTTATGATAGATGTGAAATTTTCGAATTTAAATGAAATCCCTTCGGATCAAACACATTTTATTCTTTCCTGGCTTGAAATTTACAACTTTTAAAAATGGCGGTCGTGATAGAGACTAATATATCCTTCCGCTTTATAATTGTATTATTACAGAATAACGTTCGGCCTATTATAACTTTTTTAATCCTTTTGATATGTTCATTTTAATGATTAAAACAAGCGATCATTCATACTTATTGTTTAAAATTTATAATATTACAGCCATTTTACCGTTAACCGTTATTTTTCCGCTCAAGACTTATTATTATGAGAAATGCGTATTAAATTGAGGCTTCCAAAGGGGAAGCATTTTAGTTTTCAAGTTCATATTTTGGCAAATTCATTTAAACTTGTTTTTAAGCATAAATTAAAAGAAAAATTCCTCTATATAAGATTTGCACATCCAAATTAAACTATATAAGTTTGTCACAAAAATCCTATATTTCAGTCAAAATAACCGGCGAATCCCGATTAGATACTTGTTTTTAACTGTTTAAACGCTTTATTTAGTACCCATGACTAGGGTACTGAAGAAATACATATGTATGCAACAACAGCGTCATGATTTAGCTAAAACACCTAGAGAGATTTATCTCTTATAATTCAGTTGCCTTTACATAGATTGCATAAAATAATGTTCAACAATAGTTTGATATGACTTGTATATATAAATGATGGAACGCATTGAGATTTCAACTTCCATTTTACAATCAGTATAATGTACATCTTTATGACAAAATGTATCAGGACACTCTGCTTGATAGTACATAATATCATACATAGAGAAGAGTAATATTGCTGATGTACAAGGCACAAGAAAACACTTATCTTCAAGAATACCATATAATTTACCATCACGCTGATAAGAATTCGGTTTTTATACTATCCATTTTTCTTTGAGAATATAACATAAGTCAGACAAAATAAAAAGCATAGAAAAACAATCATCGTATAAAAAAATATGTAACCACATATAATCACACATAATACGAGAAGAAGCAGGTCAACAATTACACCAAAGCAATAACAAAACACCAGATGAACACTAGATGTGGTATATTAACAGAAAAACACATTTTATCAGGGTCTACATATACATGTCATTTCTTAAAACTTATGAGAAACGCGAAGTCAAATTGTATTGGGACAGGTAGTGAGGAATCATGCATACATGACAATTTAACGTGTAATAACAGGAGATAAAATATTAATAACATATCTAAAAAGGTTAATTCATTAAATGTCAGAGTTTGTATAATAACATGTAAAACATTAACATAGAGGCATTCATGCAAATCATTCGAATATGAGATACTAAATGATACAAAACTAAAACAATTTGCACAGCCCACAAAAAATCCATTGAGAGTCAATGAACACACATTGTACACTTTACACACATTATCTTTAACTTAGAAATTGAATTAAATTGAAAATTTACTCTTTGAAGATCATATTATATATTTAAATGCTGAACTGTTGTAATGGAATTTAGTGAAATGTTCGATTTCCGATCACGGCCCTTTTTTATTATTGATCATTGTTCGTAAATTATACAGCATTTGTTGACGATAACGATCATGTTACGATTCTTTATCAACAAAAATGACAATACAAACTCCTAGTATGATATTTTTCAACAATCAGTATTGAAGTTGTTAGTTACTAGTTACGAAACTTGATGAAAAAACAGTGTTATTATCATGCTTAACATCTCCAAAAACAAATCAAGGCTGTGATACATTGTAGAATGTTTGCAAGCAAGAGCTGAAAACTAATACACAGAAATATTTTTCACGACCGTTGAATAAAATTTTAATTTTTAAATCCGATTTGACACAATAAGTAAACAATAGGGCCATGATGGCCCTGAAATTGCCCACCTGTATATAGGCCCAAAGTTTAATCCAGGGGCTTTTATTGAACAAACTTGGTAGTCACCAATTTGAAGATGTTTCATGATAAATATCTAAGCTCTAGCTCTAAGAAGATTTTTTAAGTTTTTACTATACACATATAGGGAAAAACAATGACCCCCCCTCTGGGCAGGCCAATTTTGTACCCAGGGCTTTTATTTGAACAAACTTGGTAGACACTCACTTGAAGATAATTCATGTTTAATATCTAAACTCTAGCTCTTTGGGTTTTTTAACAGAAGATTTTTAAGTTTTTACTATATACATATAAGGAAAATCAATGATCCCCGAGACGGGGCCAATTTTAACCCCAGTGCCCTTATTTGAACAAAAATGGTAGACACCCAGTAGAAGATGTTTCATGCTCAATAGCTTAGCTCTAGCTATCTGGGTTTTTAAAAGAAGATTTTTTAAGTTTTAACTATATACTGTATAATACAAATAAGAAAAATCAATGACCCCCGGGCGGGGCCAATTTTGACCCCAGCGCATTTATTTGAACAAACATGGTAGACACTGACTAGATGATGTTTCATGCCAAATATTAAGCTCTAGCTCTTACGGTTTTCCAAAAGAAGTTATTTTAAGTTTTTTCTTTCGGTTGTCATGGCAACCAGAGTTCTG